TGTCTTGGTATTTTCCCAGGAGCTGAAAGTATGATAGATAACAGTTTCTCCCATTAATTATAACTTTAAACTAACTTAGAGGGAAGCCAAACTCTTGTGATTAAGAAATGTTTATTCTATGGGTTCACCTGCAAGGTTAGAGATAATGGACCAAGGATACAGTTCTGCACAGGCCTTGACTTGTATGGATTCTTATCACCTGGACCTCTGGTCCTTTGACCTTTTTACTAGTTCATTCTGTCTCTAATACTCCATCACCTCAGGGCAGGTAAGAACACATAACAGGGCCAGATGTGACATTGGAGCCATGTAGGTAAGGGGTTTCTCCACCTACAGGCTTAAAGTATTTTGTTTTCCTAATGTGAACACAACTAGGAAACAAGACAAGTCTTGGTAATATTTTGTGTGCACACTCAGTTCTGACTTGGCAACCAGCCTCTCTTTGACACACAATAGATAGACAAGAACTAGTCATAGAATATTCTGAAGTGGAGTGCAGGTCTTCCACTACTCTTACCTTGAAGAAGGTTCACCAAACATGTATGTGCTACCCGCAACTGGGTCCTTATTGGCTTTCCCCTGTTACATTCCCATCATGCCTGCAAATATGCTCTTTTTTTTTTTTTAGCGAGTCAAATGCAGTTAAGTGATTTGCCCAGAGTCACACAGCTAGTGAGTTTTTATGTGTCTTGAGGCTGGATTTGAACTCAGGTCCTCCTGACTCCAGAGCCGGTGCTCTATCCACTGCGCCATCTAGCTGCCCCCAAATATGCTCTATTTTAGTTGATAGTTTCACAGGTTGAGCTTCACATTTTACTAGTTAAAACTTGTCATCATATGGTATCGAACTTAATGGCGTGCAGTCTTTCCTGCACTTGGCCAGTCTGGTTCTTGGAGGAGTTTTTGTACTGTGAAAGTGACACCAGGTTTTTGAAGGTAAGGTTACTTGTCACTTAACCCCAACCTGCATAAAACTGGAGAAAGAAATGGAAAGCCACTTCAACATCCTTGCCAAGAAAACCTCATGGACAGTTGTTCCTTAGGATCACAAAGAGTCAGAAATGACTGAACAAAAACAAGAATTTATTTATATTACATTTCTCACTGTCCTTCACTCCACCTATCCAATGAGTTGTCAAGTCTTGATAATTTTACCTTTTCAATACCTTTCACATCCACCACCTTCTATCTTCTCACATAGCTACCATCCTATTTCAGGCCCTCAGCACCCCCTGGACAATGGCCATTCTTGCCTAATTGTTTTCTTTGCCTGACTTTGTCCCTCTTGCTAATCTATTCTCCACGAAGTTGCTGGAGTGATTTTCCTAAAATATTGATCTGACTGTGCCATGGGATCACAGATCTAGAGTTGGAAGGGACCTTAAGGACATTATAGTCCAATCTTCACATTTTACAGATGAGGAAACTGAGCCTAGAGAGATAAAGAGATGAAGTTACTTGCCCAAGGTCACACTTATGCAGTAAGGTGCAGACCTAGGATTTGATCTCAGGTCCTCTAAGTTTCACATTCTTTCTACTCTACTCTAGGGTCTCCAGTGGCTCTAGGATTGTACACAAACTTATTTATTTGGCATGAAAAGCCTTTGACAATGGGCCTTCTTGCTACCATATGACAGTCCATCTCCTGTCTCCCTGCTTTTGAACAAGCTGTCCCCCATCCCTGGAATATACCCTCCTCACCTTTGCTTAGAAGAATCCCTGCTTTCCTTCCAAGCTCAGCTGAAGTGTCATCTTGAAGTGCCATCCATGAGGTCCTTCTTGATATCCCTCCCCAACTGCTAGCGCTTCCCCAATGACTATATTTATTTTATATGATATTGTGTCTAACCTAGTAAAATGTAAGTTCACTGAGGGCAGGGACTACTTCATTTTTATCTTTATATCTCCAATGCCTAACACATAGTAAGTGCTTAATAAATGCTTATTGAGTGATAATGTTATTTGATCCTCACAACAAACTGTGGTGTTAAATACTCTTGTTATCCCCATTTTATTGATAAGGAAACTGAGTCTCAGAAAAGTTAAGTGACTTTCCTAGGGTCTCACAACTAATGAGTGTCTATGGTGGGATTTGAACCTAGGACTTCTTGACTCTTAAGTCCATTACTTTATCTGCTATGCCATGCTGATTCTCTCTTTACCTTTTTTTGTCCTCATCTGTGAAATGAAAAAATTGATCTGTGTGAATGCTTAAATACCTTCTAGTTTTGGCACCTGAAAGTGTTCTCCCCCTCAACTTTTCCTAGGGAATTTTGTTTTGGATCAATGATGCTCTATCATGCTTTATATTTTTTGTAGCATCAGTGATTCATAGCTCCCATACTTCCCACTAGAATGTAAGCTTCTTGAGGGCAGAATCTGTATCTTATATTATTTGTATAACCCCTTGTGCATAACAGATACTTTTTGTACATATAATAATAAATATTGTTGAATATGTATGATAGATCTTGGACATTATTTAAAAAAAACCTTTTGTCCTTAGAATTAAATCAGTGGCTATATGTGCTACCAGGAGACCAAAGCTTTTTAACTTAAAATCTGAATGAGTCCTCAAACTAACTTAAGTGAGTCAAAATGACCTCTATACAACCAGGATTTTTTTTCTGCTCTAGCATAAGGAAATGATGACGAAATTTACACACAGTTTTACTTTCCTATTCACTTGTTCTGTTTTCCCTGATTGTTTCCTACTGCCACTATAGCAACTTGTTTAGAAAGTTGTATCGCTGATACCTTCTATGTCCCTGGGTAGGGGTTGGGGTAGGAACAGGCACAGATCATTGCCAGGGAAGGATAATTGGTGTGGGTTGAACCCTTGTTTGTCTTGGTGTAACCCATAGCAGCTCTGAGGATCTGTTTCTTATCCTCCATTCTCCAGGCTAGTCTCAGATTCCAGAGTAGGATGATTTCTCCCCATTAAGGTTCTAGGGGTACCCCTGAGAAGTTGGAGATAACTTTCTAATGCCATCAGCTCCTACCAGTACGCTTCCCCAAAAGATTATCAGTGAATTTAGTCAGATAACTTTAAAGTAGCTTTTATGAGAAAATGGGAGGTTCAGCACCTTCCAGACCCTTCAAAGCTTGCAAGGTCTTCCTCGGGCCAAAGTGGTGGTAGCAGAAGGATATCCACGGTGAAGCTGGAGCCAAGACCTCTTTTCTTTTCCCCAAGGCAGTTTTCAAGGATGCCCAAGGCATCCTCAGGAGTTTACTGAAACTTTGTTCTCCAGCTTGCTGTTTTGAACTACTTGCTAGATCTCTCTGATTCCAGCCAACTTTATGCTTTTATGTAAGACCCAGAGGATAGGAGAAATCTTTCAGCCACTGTCTGGCTTTCATCCGCTGGCCTTCAAAGACTTTCCCTACTTATTCCTAAGTCTACATTTGTTTAGGATTGTACACAATTTCAGAAAATTACATTTTTTTCATCACACACTGTCTCAGGAAAGTACTTTCTAAGATCTGTAAAACACCATGTAAATGGGAAAATTTGAAATTGTATGAGATCTGAAAGGGTGTACATTTGTGAGTTACTGTTATTTTTCTACATTTTGTAAAAAAAATGTTATTTATTTTTGTCTTTATCTTGATAATTTTTTTGATCTTTACACCACTTTCATTTCTAAATATACCTCTCTCCTCCACCTCTTCCACCCAAGGATCCATCTCTTATAGCAAAGAATAAAAAAGAAAGATTATTAGAAATGTTTATCAAAACTAATCAATGCATCAATCAGTCTATGCTGTGTTCCACATACACAGTCTCTCATTTCTGCGAAGAAGGGGAAGAATATTCTCATCTCTCTTCTCTGGAGCCAGGCTTGGTCATCATAATGCTTGAGTTTCTTTCCATTTGTATTGTTGTTGTCATTGTGTTGATTGTTTTCCTGGTTCTGTTTACTTCACTTTGTATTGGTTCATACAGAATTTCCAGGCTTCTATATTCATTCATATTTACTGTTTCTTATAGTACAGTGATAATCTTCTATTACATTCCTATGCCATCATTTGTCTAGCTATTCCCTCAATCAACGGGCACCTGGTTTATTTCCATCTCTTTGTTATTACAAGTAGTACTGCTACAGAGATTTTGGTAGATAAAGGATCTTTCTTTTAACCTTTGACCTCTTTGGAGTTCATGCCCAGCCATGAGATCTCTGGGTCAAAAGGTATGGATGTTGTAGTCACCTTTTTAGAATTATCCCAATTTTTCTTTCTTTCTTTCTTTTTTTTACTAGAAGGAGTGGATTTATTCATAGCTCCACCTGCAAGATACTGGTATGCCTGTCTAGGAAAGGCTCTTTATAAGAGGGAAAGTGATATAATTGAGTTACATTCTACAAATATTTAAAAGTACTTATTATGTGTAATATACTTAATGTCTTTGGAGAAGATACAAAGATAAATAAAACAATATCTCTCTCAAGTAGTTTATAATCTAGGAGACCCATATATAGATCCTCACACTATAAATTAAATGTAATAAATATATGAGGACAATAAAATGTGGAGAGAGCAGATAATGATAGCTAACATTTATATAGCATTTAGGTCTTGAAAGGGGCAGCTAAGTGGTGCAGTGGATAGAGGGCCTGGCCTGGAGTCAGGAAGACCTGAGTTCAAATTCAGCCTCAGACACTAGCTGTGTGACCCCAGGCAAATCACTTAACTCTGTTTGCTTCAGTTTCCTCATCTGCAACATGAGCTGGAGAAGGAAATGATAAACCACTCCAGTATCTTTGCCAAGAAAACCACAAATGAGGTCATGAAGAGTTGGAAATGACTGAAATGATAGAACAGCAACAAGTCAGGGCTTGAAAACCTTCTCAGATACTATCTGTTAGGTGGAGAGTTTCCTTTTGCACCAGGGAAGGTTTTGTACAGAACGTGGCATTTGAAACTTTATCTGGTTGCTTTGACTTTTTTTTTTATGTTGTTTTTACAACTTGTCTTTGCTTCTCTTTTCAAATTTTCCCTAGGACATTCATTTATGCCTTCCTCACCAGAGGAAGGCCCTTTCCACTAGAAATGTTTATTCATGCCCTTATCTTCTGTACCCTGAATGGCTTCTTTCAAGGATACTATTTAATTTACTGTGCTGAATACCCTGATGAATGGTTCACTGATGTCCGATTTACTTCAGGTAATTACCAACTTTAATCCAGTTCCCTTTTGTAATTCATTGTTTGTCACGTGCTTCTTCCTGCTCTTGGCCACCATGCACCAGTAATACACTGTCTTCTGGGTTGCCTTGCTGTTTAATTCTTTGAAGACTGTAGTGATCCATGACTTGCAGCCTTACAACTCCAGAAGAATTGGGCTGTTAAAAAGATGGGCCTTTGTTCTGGGAGAAACTGGAGGTTGGAAAAAGAATTTTGCCATTTCCCAAAATCAATCAAGTTGCTGTCCTTCTCCTTCTGTTCATTTATGGGCCCAAGCTATAGCTCCTTTGTGGTGTCTGTCCCAAATATCTATCTCTCCATCTAGATACATAATAACCTCAGATGGGGAGGTGCCTATCTATAGATACAGATAGATATTAATATCTATCTATATAATAGATATCTACATTTATATTATAGACATAGATAACTATCTCTTTATTATGGATATATTATGTAGAAATAATATAGGTACAAAGATAGTTACCTATATCTGTTATAGATATCAATATCTCTAGAGATACATTTATCTATATTATAGATCTATATCTATATCAATACCTATATTATAAATATAAATGTCTATAGAGATACTGTTATTTCTTGAGATATTGATATCTATAACATCTCTACATATTTTGTTTTACTAACCTCATACCTCCATAGATATATCTTTGTAACTATAGATATATAAGGATATAGTTACATAGATAGCTCTAGATATATTATCTCTATATAATATATGTGATGCAATATAATGTACATATATAAATATGTATATATACATATGTGTATGTACATACATACATATATAAATGTATATGTGTATGTTTTGTATACATATACATGTGTGTATGTATTTGTAAATAGAACAAGTACTCTGGCCTTACTCTCTGTGAGTCATGGTTGCCTAGTGTCTTTTGAAAACACCGTTAGCTCCCTCTAAGCAGTCAATCAAAAAGGCCCTTCTTCATTCCTTAATAAGCAGATTGAAACCAGTTACAAAATACCTACATGTGTTCCAAAGTCTTGCCAACATACTTCTTTACATGTCATCATGTATATCCAGAAGTAGGTGCTCCAAACTCTTTCCTTTTCCTTCCGACCTTCTTTCCTTCCTTCCTTTCTTCTTCCCTCCCTCCTTCCTTCCTTTTCCCCTATCTTCCTTCCTTTCTTCCTCTTTCTATCTATCCACACATCCACATGTATACATAAACTAAGTAGATAAGGAACACCTATTGCCTGAATTATGATTTGCAGTTCGATAGACAACCTATAGAACTCATCTATCAGTATATACATATATGCGTACAAGCTAGGGCACGCATATCCACATATATGTATGTATGTATGTATGTATATATACTAATGGATGCATACTATAGGTTTGCTCATTGAACTTCATATCATAGTGTTGGCAATAAATGGTATTCTTCATCTGCTTGGTTTCAGATGAGAAAAAAGAAGATGGACTGGTCGTGAGGCAAGAGTGAGGCATAACCTATGTATAGCCTATGTGCTCCGTTAGTATTCTCATAATATCAAAAGAAAGTGAGAAAGGAGTGATCCCCCCATCCCCATGGCAAAACTACAGGTAGGCATAGATACTTGTTACACTGCATAGGCAGGTATGAATGAACTGTCATCTGTATCACTGGATGGAGTACACACATTGATGAGATCACACGTCTTTTTAATTATATGAGTATAAAATTAGAGACTTATCTGTAAGAACCAGTGTGCCACCAGAACCTTTAAGGAATCTGCTCTTATTGGAAGTTGTGTTAAAGTTTGGTTAAACTCAAGCATCAGTTCAGATTTATTGGACCAAGGATTTATAGGTATTATGGAGCTCATGACAACAAGTATGCCAGTGGCATACTTTAGTTTCTGCCAAAGTTTTGCAGGATGGGTGAGTGTGTTGAAAGGGAAGGCACAGACTGTTACTGTTTGATAGACAGTATAGATTGGATAGAAGCATTGGTTGAGAAAGATTTGACCTTAGGCACAGAAATGGCTCAGAAACAGAATCATAGCATTGTAATTTAGAGCTGGAAATGACTTTTGAGAGAATTTTGTTTAAGCCCTTCATTTCATAGATACAGATGACTGGCTTGAGGTCACAATGGTGACCTGATTCCTAGCCCAGTGCAACTTTGGATCATGGAGTTATATATTTAGAGATGGAAGGAGCCTTAAAGTTCATCTAGTTCACCCTCACTGTTTTACAGATGAGGAAATAGAGGCCCAGAGTAGTTGAGCAACTTGCCCAAGGTCACACAGGTGGTCTTTGAATCCAGGTCTTCTGACATTACTTGTGGCAAAGACTGTAAGGAAAAGGGAAGGAAATGCAGATATTTCCTTGCCTTCCCAAATCTCTTCCCATCCTTCTATTTACTGACATGCAATGGAGTACCAGTGTTGTAGGCGTAGGCATATCTAGTTGTTTTTGTTAAGCTGTCTTTTCTTACAGCCTGATGAAACTTTTCCTTATATCAGCACAGTGAAGGTATTGGGAGAGGTGAAGTCGAAGATGTTTGGGATTTGCAGTGTCGGCTTAGGGACGCTTTTCTTACTTTGGTGTTTCCCAAACTAACCTGCCCCCCCCCCCCAAATATTTTTAGCTTTCCTTGAAATAGCTGATACTCATTTAGGGGATATTGTGATATGAGTTTGTTTTGTTCTGTTTTTTGATTCAGAGCCATGATTTCATTGTTGTTAGGAGATCCCACTGCAGAAACTTCCTTCACCAGAGGAAGTTGCCACTTTGCAGTTTATAATCTTAGAAAGCCACCCTAAAACACTAAAAAGTTAAATGACTTGCTGAGGGTCACACAACCAGTAGGTGTGAGAAGCAAGATTTGAATTCAGGTCTTTCTGGCTCCAAGGCTGACTTTCTACTCACATATCATATGTCTTCTTGACATTGAATTGTCTGGGGATGAAAGGGTAGTCAGAGAAAATATTGGAACAAAATAGAGGAGGTTGAATTCTCTTTTGTTCTGAAAAATTGCCACACATAATAAGTCTTTTTAGACATGCTTACTTTCATATTTAATATCTGGAAGTGAAAAATATCAGAGAATGAAAGCAGCATTTAGAAGTGCCTGTCTTCTATTCAGGAAGTCCTGGGTTTGAATCCAGCCTCAGACTTTTTACTTTCTCTGTAATTTTGAACAAGTCACTTGAGGCCTCTATCTGTCAGTTTCCTCATCTATAGACTGGGACTAATTATACCTGCAGTACTTGTCTCACAAGGTTGGTCTGGAGGCTCAAATGAGATAATGTGTGTAAGGTGTTTTGCCAACTTTAAAGTGGGACATAAATGATTGTAAATAAATGAGCCCCAGGTCTTCTAAAGGCACTGATTGGCTAACTGCTGCTTTCTTGAATCATTCTTTTTATCTGGCCATTATAGCAATGCAGGGCATCTCAAAATACAGGGCCTGGGACAACAGCCCTGATTTGGTATTCCCTGGGGTTGGCTCTGGTCATAGAGGTTAACTGGGATTTAGATGTTTTTCTGCAATTATTTAACTAATGTACACAATTTGAAGATCAGAACATCTTGAATTTTCTACCTATTATTTGTTTTCTTTGCTTAGGTATCCTTTTATTTTTCTTGGGAATGGCAATCAACATTCACAGTGACTATTTATTGCGCCAGCTCAGAAAGCCTGGAGAAATCTCCTATAAGATTCCACAAGGTAAAAATGATCATTTATTTCCTGTCCTCATTCCTAAGATTTTTGAGACACATATTAATTAGTTAATTCATTATCAGCCAGTCAGTCATTCAACAAACATCTATTAAGTGTCTACCATGTACAAAACATTGTGTTTGGTGTTGGAGTAGTTAGGTAAAGAAGACATAGCCTTTTTCATCAAGGAACTTATATCCCAGTGTAGTTGTGAGTAGATTAAATACATTACCAATTAGAATACAAAATGGACCTAAGGGTAGATCAAATGGCTGTGAGGTTAGATAAGCAAGGATTCACTTCTAGGTGAGGGGATTGAGAAAGATTTTCTGAAAGAGGAAGTTCTTGAGTTGGTCCTCCAAAGTGTGGTTTCAGCAGGTGGAGATGGGGCAGAGGGTTGGGCCGGGACAGGTTCAGGTATTTTAGGGATTAGTGTGAGCAAAGACAGGGAAACAGAAAGTTGGGGCAGGAGAGGATAGTGAGTAAGGCAGTTTGGCCTGAGTTTCTAAGGCACAAGAGGGAATAGCAGCATGAAGTCAATCTAGAAAAGCATACCAGAAGCAGGCCTCATTCAGACTTTTTTGATGCCCCATGCAAGGGGAATATCAGCTCTTCATAACTGTGCCTTTTTCATATACCATGTTCTCTATTCCCAGACACACACACTCCTGAGTCACTGTCCAGTTTTCCAGGGCAGTGGGCTGGCCCTGGTTGGACTTTGACTTTGGCAACATTCCTTTTTTTCTTTTTTTTTGACAGCTCAAACATCATGATATAGTAGGAAGAGAACCAGATTTCAAGTCAGGGAGCCCTGGGAAGCATCTGGTGGTACAATGGATAGAACACTGGGCCTGGAGTCAGGAAGATCTGAGTTTAGATCTGGTCTTAAACACTTATTAGCTGCATGACCCTGGAAAAGTCACTTAACCCTGTTTGCCTCAGTTCCTCATGCATAAAACGAGCTGGAGAAGGAAATGGCAAACCACTCCAGTATCTCAGCCAAGAAAAGCCTGGAGTCACAAAGAGTCAAACACAACTGAAAAATGACTGCACAACAAAGTCACTTACCTCTCTGAGCCTCAGTTTCCTATCTGTAAAATGGAGATAATAATATCATCTTCTTCTTTAGGCTGTTGTAAGAACTGAATGAGATATTTTGTCTTTCAGTCGCATCCACTTCTGCTGTCTTTGTGTTTCTGAATAACTGAAAGATAAACATCATGTTTCATAGACATTGGCCCAGTAAGTTAAAGACAAGAAAAAAACCAGAAAAAACTATAAATGGCCTGATTTCAAAAGGTTGTGGTTATTGTTAGAGGAGCATTTGAACACAAAAGTGTCCTTTCTCATGATTCCAGAAAGAAAGGCCTTGCTTGGGGTGCAACTTTCCAAGTCTTGGGCCTGGTAGAGAACCTGTGTGTAGATCACTTTGACTAGGTTTAAATTGTTTGTTGACTTTTAGTCACAGCTGGAACTCAAGAATGTTTCCACATTATACAATGATAACAGGAATATAGTCGGTCTTCTTCCATGAGAAAACCAAACATTCAAAATCAATAGAAGCATAAGTCCTGTAGAGGGAGGGTAAACTCATCTTTTTCACATTAAGCTTGCATAGATCAAATTTTCTTCCAGCAGGGGATTGTAAATGTCAAAACAGCACCTAATGATGCTTTATCTTTTCATGTTAAATTTTATTTTCATAACTTGAATGTCACGTATTTAAAAAACCATATGACTAGCTGGGCTACTATTTTGTAATAGACTCCTTTGCAGTTTTTGACTGTAGGATAGAGGTAGGGAGGGAAGAGGAGGCCTGACATAGTACAGTGGTAGAGTCACAGAATGGTCTTAGAAAGAGGCAGAAATCCTGGGTCCTAGACTGCTCTCAGCCATGGACCAACTATATGACCTTGGTCAAGTTATCTCACCAGCCTGAACCTCAGTTTCCTGTAAAATGGGAATAATCATGGTTGTATTTCTGTCCTTCTCTGGGTTGTGAGGAAAGTATTTAATACACTATGAAATACTATGCAAACTCTTCTGCAGCTTAGTGTTGTTATATTAAGAGACATATTTATCACAATCCTGAAGAAAATGGCAGAAAGGGAAATTAAAGCAGGGCTGGATAAACTCCACAAAAAAGGCAGGCAAATTCTCGTAATGACAGGCCATTAGGCAAAATTTCCAAGGGTAGTAGTTGCTTCTTTCTTATCTAAGCTATATATCTATATTTATATCTATACCCATATCCACATCTATCTGTATCTATACCTATACCTATATGTATATCTATACCTATATCTATAGTTATCTCTATCTTGATCTCTATCTAGAATCATCTATATTTTCAGGTTAAAACACATTCCCATTTGTATGTACACATTTGCATATCGTATATACATTTATTTATACAGATAACCTACGTATAACTGTACACGTTTTATTGATGTTCTTTAGAAAACACTATTGTCACTTCCCAATAATATCCGCATCCCTTAGAACCCTTTGTCGTAGCAAAGTATTCAAGCAAACCAAACCAAAACTCTGATCATGTCTGGCAGTGTATGCCTTGTTCTACACCTGTAGTCCATCACTTCTCTGAGGAAAGGACGGAAGCATGTTTCATCATGAGGGACCTGGAGTTAAGATAGATTTTCCCATTGACCAGAGTTCTGATGCCTTTCATTGTTGTTTTCATTTATATTATAGTGGTCATTGTGTTAATTGTTCTCTTGGTTCATGCAAGCATTCCCATTTTTTCTTGAATAATAATAATAATAATAATAATAAAAACAATAATAGCTAGCATTTCTATGCTTTTAAGGTTTGCAAAACACTTTATATATATTATCTTAATTAAGATAATGAATTCATATTTTTATTTATTTTTAAAAATTAATTAATTTTTAGTTTTCAACATTCACTTCCATAAGATTTTGAGTTTTAAATTTCTCCTCCTCTCTCTCTTTCCCCCTCCCCAAGACAGTGTGAAATCTGATATAGGCTCTACTTACACATTCACATTAAGCATATTTTCACATTAGTCATGATGTATGGAAGAATTAGAACTAATGGGAGGAACCAAGAGATAGAAGAAACAAAACAAAGCAACAGAAGAAAAGGAGAGCAAATAGTATGCTTCAATGTGCATTCAGACTCCATAGTTCTTTCTCTGTATGTAGACAGCATTTTCCATCGTGAGTCTTTTGGAATTGTCTTAGATCTTTGCATTGTGGAGAAGAGTTAAGTCTGTCAAAGTTAGTCATTGCACAATGTGGCTGTTACTGTATACAATGTTCTCCTGGTTTATTTGTTATTTCTTGTGGTGCAGTTATATTCAAATACATTCATTTGCCACAATTTGATCAGTTATTACCCAACTGGTGATCATCCATTTTGTTTCTAGTTTTGTTTTTTGTTTTTTGCTCCTGCAAAAAGTTTTACTGTGAGTATTTTTGATTATATGGATGCTTTCCTTCTAACACTGTGTGTGTATATGTATATGTATGTGTGTATGTGTATGTATCTCTCTCTGTGTCTCTCTCACTTTCTTTGTCTCTCTCACTTTCTCTGTCTGTCTCTGTCTCTGTCTGTTTCTCTGTGTGTGTGTGTGTGTGTGTGTGTGTGTGTGTGTGTGTGTGTGTGT